GTTCCTTAGACTTGATATTTTAGATGACCTGTCTTCAAGTGTACTAAGTCTTTCTCCTGTCTGTTTGGGCCTGCCTTGAATTACTCTAGTGAATTTTTCAATTCAGTTATTGTATTTTTTTGTTTTGATTTTGTTTGCTCTTTTTGAAAAATAATTTCTGTTTGTTCATATATTGTCTTCCAGATTTACTTTAGATCTTTGTCCGTATTTTTCTTTAGCTCTTTGCGCATATATTTAGTCAATTTTAAAGGCTTTGTTTAGTAAATCCAACTTCTGTTTCTTTAAAGAGAGTTTCTGGAGATTTATTTTGTCCCTTTATAAGACACGTTTTGGCTTTTTATTCTTTTTTTTTTTGGTATGCCTTGTGATCTTTATTTATTTATTTATTTGAGAGAGAGAATGAGAGAGAGCGCATGAGAGGAGGGAGGGTCAGAGGGAGAAGCAGACCCCCCGCTGAGCAAGGAGCCCAACATGGGACTCGATCCCAGGACTCCAGGATCATGACCCGAGTCGAAGGCAGTCGCTCAACCAACTGAGCCACCCAGGTGCCCTGCCTTGTGATCTTTTGTAGAGAGTTTTGGGCATTTGTAAAAAACAGTCACCTCTACTTGTATTTGCAGGCTGCCGTAGAACACCTTCACTTATTAGTGGGGAATGTTTTAATACTTTGGATCAGCCAGAGAAGGCAACTTAATACCTAAGTCTTCTTAGGTATTTTCTGAACATTTTTCCTGTCTGGACCTTTGTGTAAGCTTTTATTCACCTAATTCTTCTTGTACACTTGGCTGATTTTAATGTCTTAAATTCCCAAAGAGTCTTACCCAGATTCTGCTCCAGGCCTTAGGTGTTCTGTTGTATTTTATTCCCATAATTTCTTGCCCCCAAGATTCTAAGTTCTGTAATGTCCCTGAAGGTTTTACATGGCATGGTGCCCTCTTGCAAGACTCCCACCAGCCTGATATCTTAACTATATTGCCATTTCCAGGCAGAGCTTCAAGTCTAGTGAGGCCTAAACTTGTCACTTGGGAGGCTACAGAGTGGCTACAATCTTGCAAATTATTTCAGTTCTGCTCCTGCTGCTGAAGTCAGGGCCAGCACTGCTACCTCAGGATCATGGCATGCCACCCCAGGAAGATTGTGGGGCAAGAAAGAGTAAAAATGGCATGGAAATTCTCACCATTCTGAGTGTGTTTATTTGATTGGTTTCTGTATATCAGTGACCATTTTTCCAAGTCTGTAAAATTATTTGAGTCAGTCTTTTGCTTTTTTTCTCCTGTTATTTTTTCTCTGAGGGACTGGAAGTATGTAGCTTCTTGACATCATGCTCTGCCCTTGCCAATATTAGATTATAGATTTACACTGACCTTATAAATGTCAAATGAGAAGAAAGCTGATTCTAGTGGTCCTTTGGGATGGTAATTCTTACAGTGTTATGCTGGATGGAGTTAAGTAGGGCCAGAATGGCACAGTGAGGTAAGGGGCGGGCAGCTGGGGACAGCCAACAAATGTAGAGAAAAGAAGAAACAAATGTTTTGCAGAATTGACAAAAACTAATTTTTAGGGTATTAGATCATGAAATTCTTTAAGAATCATCTGGGGGTGGCTACATACTAACTAATATCAGACAAAATAGACTGATGTCAAAACTTTTATAGGAGATAAAGGATACAAAATCAATCAGCATAATATATAACACATTAATAGAATCAAGGTGATAAAAAAGCACATCATACCAAGAGATGCAGAAAAGACACTTGGCAAAACTAACATCCTTTCATGATAAAAACACTCACAAAACTAGGAGTAGAAAGGTACTTTTCGAACATGCTAAAGAATATCTATGGAATACTCACAGCTAACATCATACTTTTTATGATAGACTGAAATCGTGCTGCCTAAGGTCAGTAGTCTAAGATGCCCACATCACTGCTATTCAAATATGCCCTAGGCAAAGCAAGTAGGCAAGAAAAAGAAATAAAAGTCATCCAAATTGGAATGATCAATGTAGAAATTTTTTGATTTTCGTATGACATAATCCTATATATAGAAAATCTCAAAGAATTCATACACCTTACATTAGATCTAATGAATGAATCCAGCAAAGTTGCAGGGAAAACTATCAATATGCAAATATGAGTTGTATTTCCATACACTGACTATAAATAACCTGAAAATGAAATTAAATAAATTATTCTATTTACAACAGCATCCAATTAAACTGAGGAGGTGAAAGACATGGACACTGCAAATTTGCTGAAAGAAATTAAGGAAGACCTAAATAAATGGAAAGACCTCTCCATTCCATGGATTGTGATACTTAATATTGTTAAGAGAGCAATACTACTCAAATCGATTTACAGAGTTTATCTGATCCTTATCAACATTTGAATGGCCTTATTATTATTATTATTATTTTTTGCAGAAATGGAAAATCTTCAAATTCACATGGAAATGTAAGAGACCCTGAATAACCAAAACATTATGAAAAAGAACAGAGTTGGATGACTCATCCAACTGTAACCAATTCATTATTTATTTATTTATTTATTTATTTATTTATTTATTTATTTGAGAGAGAGAGAAACAGCATGAGAGGGGATAGGGTCAGAGGGAGAAGCAGGCTCCCTGCTGAGCCGGGAGCCCGATGTGGGACTCGATCCCAGGACTCCGGGATCGTGACCTGAGCTGAAGGCAGTCGCTTAACCAACTGAGCCACCCAGGCGCCCAACCAATTCATTTTTGACAAGGGTGCCAAGAGCAATCAATAGAAAGAATAGTCTCTTCAGCAAATGGTACTGGGACCACTGGATATTCATTCACATGAAAGAGAATGCAGTTTGAACCTTCCTCACACCACATACCAAAATTAACTTAAAATGGATCAATGGCCTAAATAAAGAGCTAAAAGACAAAAAATTCTTAGAAGAAAAGAAAGGGCTAAATTGCATGGAGTTGGATTTGGCAATGAATTTGTAGATGTGACACCAAAAGCATGAGTAACAGAGGAAAAACATAGATAAATAGGACTTTATCAGGATTGAAAACTTCTCTATATTGAAGGACACATATATAGAAAATGAAAGAACAATTTATCAGGTACAAGGCAAATATGTCCCTTCCTTCTGCTTTTCAGCATCGTATTGGAGGTCCTAGTAAATTAATAAGACAAAAAAAGGTATAAAAGGAATGTAGATTAGGAGGGAAGAGATAAAACTTTTTTTGTTCAGATGACATGATGCTCCATTTCAAGACTCTGAAAAAGTCAAGAAATAGATTCCTGGAACTAATAGTCAATTATAGCAATATCAAAAGGTTACAAGTTCAATATAAAAAATCCATCCTTTCTCTTATATATCAGCAATGAATAGGAGGAATGTGAAATTTAAAACACTATACCATTTACATTAGCACCACCAAATATGAAATCTTGGGAATAAATCTGACAAAATACGTATAAAATTTATTTGAGGAAAACTACAAGTCACTGATGGAAGAAATCAAAGAACTAAATAAGCGGAGAGAAAGTCCATGTTTGTGGATAGGAAGACTCAATATTGCTAGATATTCATTATCTCCAATTCAATCTATAGATTCAATGCAATCCCATTGAAAATCACAGCAAGTTATTTTGTGGATACTCATAAAATGATGCTCAAATTTGCACAGAGAGGTAAAAACCATGAAGAACCACCACAGAATTGAAGATTAAGAACTGAAGGTGAAGTTGGAGGTCTTACATTAGTCAACACCATGACGTACTATATGGCTAAAGCAATCAAGACAGTATGGTATAAGCGAAAGAATAGACAAATAGATCAATGTAATAGAATAGAGAGTACACAAAGGCCCACATTAATTTAGTCAAATGATCTTTGACAAGGCATTAAGAAATGCCATGAAAAAAAGATAGCCTTTCCAACAAATGGACATAGATCTTACCTCTTCACAAAAATTAACTCAATGTGGATCACAGAACTAAATGTAAAATGCAAAAATATGAAACTCCTATGAGGGGTCATAGGAGAAAATAGATGAACTAGTGTTTGGTGAATAGTTTTTAGAGGTAAACCTAAGACATGTTCTATGATAGAGTTGAAGAGTGGGCAAATTGAACTTAAAGATTTCTGTTCTGGGACAGAACTGTCAAAGGAATGAAAGGAGGAGCCACAGACCAAGAATAAATATTTGCATAGACATATCTGATAAAGACTATTTTTCAAAATATACACTTATGCACACAAGTACAAAACCATATATACAAAAGATACAAAGAACTCTTAAATCTCAATAATAACAATAAAAAACCCAATCAGTCAAAAATTTTAAATGGGCCAAAAACCTTACCATACCCCTCAACAAAGAAGATAGACAGATGACTAATAAGCATATGAAAGAGACACACCACAGAGATATTTCCCCAGCATCTACCTCAGCCTCCAGAAGGCATGCTGCCTCCTACTGGACCAGGACAGCAACTGGCACTCTCTCAGGCACTAGCACCTCTGGTCTGGCATTGGAACCCTCCTAAATGACCATATCTCCCCACACCTAGAATGAGGGATGAGGATGGCCATGTTTTCAATGAAGAAAGAGATTCCCACCACCTCAACTTTCCTCTTCTATAAAAGATGGTTATATACACAAGTCCTGTTGGTGCTACAGTGTGCTTTGAGTGCCTCAAAGGCAATGTGGGTTATTGTGGTAGTGACTGGACACCTACAGCTGTCTTCACATTCATCTGTGATTATTGAAAGTGTTTATATGGTAGGATGTGTCCTGAGGTCTCAGAGAAATGACTCCAAGGACACTAGACACAATGGATATGAGCATAGTGCAGAGGGCACTGAGCTCTCCAGGGGCTATGAGAAACTTTTCAAGACAGTGAGCTCTAGGCACTGACAGAAGGGTGTATTCAGTAAATAGCTGACTTTTATTTCATGGCTGTCTAGGCTTTGATGAACAGCTTTGTTCACCTGCTTTCCTTTCTTACTTCTCTCCAGGAATTTGAGAATTTTATTGCCAAGTTTGGAGACTCTGGTTTTGTCCTTGTGTCCCTGGGCTCCCTGGTGGGCATCTGTCAGTCCCAGGAAGTTGTCAGGGAGATGAACAGTGCCTTTGCTCATCTGTCTCAAGGGGTGATATGGAAGTGTAATCCTTCTCATTGGCCCAAAGACGTCAAATTGGCAGCAAATGTGAAAATTGTGGACTGGCTTCCTCAGAATGACCTCTTGGGTAAGGACTGTTCAGATCTACTTCTCTCTTTCCATTTATGTATCTTTAGGTTTCCACTGGGCAACACCACCAGCATGAGAAAGGGCAGCTGGTAGCTAAAGGTAATCTTTAGAGGACAGGAATGGAGCAACCAGCTGGAGTTCTTGGGAAATCAGGCTATGCTTCCCAAATGGCTAAAATTGCCATGTTTTCTTCCTTTCTATTGCAGTCCTGATACCTGCAGCCAGAAATGATGTTGTTGTCAGGTTGTTTTGACCTTACCATATTTGGCACAGACCAAGGTAGCCCAGACACAATCAAAGATGGCTTGTAGACTCTGAGAACACATCCCGGGTGTCTTGTGGCCACTGCTGTTCCTGGCCTCCCGAGTATCTGTGAGGCCATGTGCCGTTAGAGACACACACTCCCACGCACTTTAGTACATTCTCCTACCCTGCAAACGATGGACTCATGCTTTGTCAACATTGATGCTGATGGTGTTTGAAGGGTGAGCCAAAATATCTGAATGTCTAGCTGAGTAACCTCTTGGGTGGTTTTTTAGTCCATCAGATTCTCTGGTTACGTAGGGCTTTTTATACCCCAATATGGTTTTTTTTGTCCTATGCCACTTTTTGGAGCCCCCTTAGTGCCTTAACCACTAAATACATCAGAGGTTCATCCCCAGATTATGGCTCACAAACATATTGGGAACTTAAGATGGAGGGTTCTGCACATTTATTCACAAGGCATGGTATAGGGAAAAGGATTCCGATTTTCAAAGAAAAACAAATAGATTCTGATGCACATCTCTGTTGAGAGACAGTGTTTGAGATGAACTCTTCATTATCAACACTTGTTTTAGTTTACTCTAAATAAGAGTGGGATGAACACACAGAAACTGGAAATACTGAGTTGGGTGGTCCATCATTGCCTACTTTAGAGGATTTCTTATGAAGTTGAGGTGATAGCACATACAGTGTAAGTTTGATGAATGACACATGAGATGTGATGTCAGTGAAAGTGTTAAGACTTCAGATAAGAGGGAAGTGAATGGGCAGTGAAGGAGAGAGTGTGAGACCTGGAAAGCTAGAGACAGAGATAGAAAGAGACAAAGATAGAAAATCAGAGGAGAAACTAGGAGAGAGTAATAGAGAACAGAGAAGAGAAATAAAGAGAGAGACAGGGTGGAAAGACAAGGATGGGTGGATGGAGAGATGGATGGATAGATGGGAGGAGAAATATGCCTTAGCACTGTGTTCTCCAGCTTTCTCTAGGTTCTGAGTCTTAGATGGATTGATTTAGAGGAGTTTCTGTACAGAGACAAGGCCAGAATTTCATATCTTGAAATATTCACCCTTGAGTATGTCCAAAGCGAAATCAGTAAATCCATTTTCTCCAATATACGTTGAAATGCCTTAGTATTTTCTTCCACCCTGATGCTTTCCTTGGTATTCTGAAAATTTTACCCTGAAATATTCTGCTGTGTTCCTGATCTGCAACAGCTCACCCACGCATCCGTCTCTTTGTCACCCATGGTGGATTGAATAGCATAATGGAGGCCATCCAACATGGTGTGCCCATGGTGGGGATTCCTGTCCTTGGAGACCAACCTGACAACCTGGTCCGAGTAGAAGCCAAAAAGTTTGGTGTCTCTATCCAGTTAAAGCATATCAAGGCAGAGACATTGGCTCTGAAGATGAAGCAAGTCATAGAAGACAAGAGGTATGGAGCTCTCTGGGCTTGTGGTCATTTAGGCTAAATGAAGATATCAAATACAAAGGGCGCCATGTGGCACTTTTTTGCAATAAAAGTAGAAACTTCCAGGACACAAAATAATATGTGTGTGATGCTAACAGCTGACCTGTTTCCTCTGAGAACAAGACTGGGCAATTTAGGTTGATGCTGACAACAATTTTCTACCTTAAGGACTGTGAAGACTCCAACCTACTTACACAGGGTCTGTGAGAGGTCTTATATTTTGGAGTGCTTAGTAGAGTTACACTGAGGCAGGAGGTTTCCTTTCTGTCCCCCAATATGCCACACTGTTTCCTGCCTCAGGCCCTTTGTCAGTGCTGTTCCTTAGAACATCCTTCCCTTCTCTTCATAGGGTTAGCTCCTTCATGACAGTTGGACTCATCTCCAGTGTCCTCTCCTCAGAGGGGCAGGTGGTCTTTGTCTGACAGTCCTAAATGTGCTCCTCTCTCCCACCCTCTTCAATCATAATTCATTTTTCCTTCTTAACACTTCTCAGGATCGGTAACTAACCCAGTTTTTTTCTGTCTTAATTTATTGTGTGTCCCTCACACTAGAAAATAGAGAGTAAGCTCCTCTGGATGGCCAAGTGTGTCTCTTGTTTCCCCTGTGTTCCCAGGGCCTAGCACAGGGTCTGCCAGAAAGTAAGTTAGGATGAATTTCTGTTAAGTGAGTCAATAAAAGTTTCTTAGGTAAATTCCCTTCCAGCACAAGGATGTGGTAACCATGATGGACCGAATATCTTATTAGGGTCTCAAGGACATTTATCCTGAATCAGATGTATGGTGCATCACATATATACCTATATACTTTTTCCTTTATTGTACCATAAGTGTTCTTGGTTAGAGACTTGTCCTTACAGCTTAGTCACTTTTTTTATAGCTTAGCTCTTTTAGCACAAAGCATGAATCTTTGCATGGGAAGACCAGTTAGAACTTTTCAGTGGGACCCAGCTAGACTGTGACAAGGCCAGGCCAACAACTTTTTCTTGAAACTGAGTCTTTTGTGCATATGGATGAAAGTGTGTGTGTGTGCGTGTGTGTGTGATACGAGGTCTCTAAGACTTCTGAGAGCACATGAGTAACACCCTGCCTCTGTCTCTGCCAACAGGTACAAGTCAGCAGCAGTGGCCGCCAGCATCATCAGGCGCTCCCACCCCCTGACCCCTGCTCAGAGGCTGGTGGGCTGGATCGACCACATCCTCCAGACAGGGGGCGCGGCACACCTCAAGCCCCACGGCCTGCAGCAGCCATGGCATGAGCAGTACCTGCTGGACGTCTTCTTGTTCCTGCTGCTGGTCACCCTGGGCACCCTGTGGCTCTGTGGGAAGCTGCTGGGCGTGGTGGCCAGGTGGCTGTGTGGGGCCAGGAAGCTGAAGAAGGCCTGATGGAGGTGCAGCCTTGACAGGTGTTTGGGGAGCCACTGGTTGTAGAAGGCTTTCTCTTAGCACAGAACACCCCTGGTGTCTTCCCCGTATTGGCACTTGATTGGCACACAAATTGTGTTTCACTATTTTCTGCTTGTGTTTAAAAATTCTTGTGAGGCACTCTTGGATTTCTTGTGATAAAATTTTCCATTTTAACCACTAAGTGTAGAATCAATGGCATTAAGCACATTGACATTATCATGTGAACCTCACTACCACCCATTCCAAGACTGTTTTCATCTTCCCACACTAAAAGGCAATGTTGGTCAAACAGTAATTCCCCACATCCCTGCCCCTATCACCCGCCTCACCAGCTCCTGGCTACCCCAGTTTTACTTTCTGTGTCTACGAATTTGATCTTGGCTTCTTGCCCCTCATCAGTGGACTCCTCACTCAGACTCAAAACTTCAGCAGACAGCCCCCACCTTCCTCCCCACTCCCTGTCCCTAGACACAGAGCCCTGCTTATTTCATCCTGGGTTCCTAGACACTTCTCAGTCTCTCTGCCTTTTCTCCATCCTCACATTTCATGATATGACAAGATATTGGCCAGTTCTTCCATATTGGGCCTTCCTCTTGCATCTCCTTTTCATCTGACCTCCAAGTTCAAGAAGCCTAGCCTCCATCATGCAGCTAGGCTGGGATGGTCTTCCCAGGACTCAAGTTGTGATCTCTCTGCTGAGTTCTGTCCTTCAAAGAGCACTTCCTTTGCAAGGCAGGCCTAGAGCCTGCCTTTGGGCCACAGCTGATGCTGTGGTTTTCACTTTTCACCATTCCCTTCTCAGGATTCCCACTCTTAAAATGTAGTCATGGAGACTCAAATGCAGAATGTGGACATCTGCAGGAGGCTCTGGGGCCTCAAGTCTCATGGCTATGGCAGTTCACAGGACTTTGTTGATTTAGGAAACACACATCTGCCCCCCAAATATGACAGAGAATATCTCTCTATGTGGTATATCTTTAGGAATTACATTCAGTTCCTAACAACATAAACCAGAAATAGTGTGGCTTAACCACCAGGGTTTGTGTTTGGTTGGTTTTTCTTTTCATTGACAAAGCCTAGATTCAGGTAATGGAGGGCTGGTTTGGTGGTTCTGTCATGTCTACAAAAGTTTTTCTCTCTCGTCTGCCTCTTCTTTCTCCTTCTTCATATATAGAATTATACTCTTTTCCTAAATTCCTAAAATCATCCTAAACACTGCCTTTCTGGTATATGGTTTTCATGAAATATTTCATCTTCAAATGATTATTTTCTCATAATTGATTTTCCTTCTTAGATGAATTAAGTTCTTCCTTAAAATTTTCTAATATATGGTATCTCATGGGCTAAAAATACAGAAAAGGAAATGTTTAGATATATGTAGTGGCCCTGGGAGGACCATAGTTTTTGATTGCTTAATTCTGGGTTTGTGAAACAGATCTTGTAATAATTAAAATTAAAAAATGAAAGTATTGATAAATAATTCTTGTATTGATACAGGAAGGCCCACTCACTTGCCAATTCTAACAAAACATTTTCTTAGAAGTCTGCAAGACTGGGTGTCTGGTATCTACCCACTTTGAGAATCTGGTATTGTAAGATTGTCACAGACAGTCAGGAACATGTCACATGTAGAAATGTGTGTCCTTGGGGTGTGTGACTGTGCATGTTTGTGAAGTATGGTTTTATTTTTGTTATTCTTTTGAAACTACTTGAAATGATCTGTGGCAATAGTACCTCAAGGAAGATATGACAGTTTCTTGTGTTGTTGTTGGGGTCAACAGCCCCCATGTTTTCCCCAATGAGCAACACAGGGGCTGAGAGCTGAGGTTCCCTAGCTGGTAACTCCCTCCCTCCCATCCCCAGGATGCTGTTCTCCCCTAACATCTGGTAATTTGTGAGGCCACCTCTGTGGTGGGTGCTTCCTCAGACCCACCCCTTTCCCTGAAATCAGATCAAGAGCAGCCAGTGAGCCATGGAGAATGATGCCTCTAATTTGTTCCCACCAAGCATCCTCCATAGGCTTGACATCATGGTCTTGATGACATGAAAATCTAATCTCATCACTTCCTATTTAAAATCATTTGTGGCTCCCACTGCATGGAATACAAGGTCTCTGCGATTTCTCTCTGGTTACCACTGTAGGCACACCATTAGCTACCCTCCCCTTGCCCATTTCCCATGTCTACTACACCTGTTAAAGAGAAATTACGTAGACACTTGTGAAACCTGTTAAGGAAGACTTTGTTCAAGACTATTGCAGCAGGGAAGAGAAACTGAACTCAACTCCAAGTGCAGCAAGGGCAGGTGGGGATTCATAGCCAATAAGGAGAATGAAGGGGTGTTAAAGATAAATTATCGAATGGCTCTTTTTCAAGATGATAAGCAAGACTACTCAATGGAGGACTATCATGCTAGGTTTAGAGACTACTGTAACAGGGGAGAGAGATTGGGCTCCGTCCTGAACACAACAATGAAAAGTAGGAATTTTAGTTGAGTTGCTGACTGGGGGACAGTGGGTGGAAAATTACTATGAAGAAATGTCAGCAGTAAGGGGGGATTCTGACTAAACCTACCTAAAAGAATTCTTGCTGAGAGGTGGGCTAACATGATCAAACCTCACCTGGGGAATGGTAGAGGATGAGGAAACTGAGTAGCTATAGAGAGTGATCAGATATGGAGAATGGGAGTCTGCCTAAACTGACTTAGGTTTCTTGCTAAATTGGATCATGTAGAGATGAACATTCAATTCCAAAATCAGGGTCTAGTTGAGAAGACATTCACAGGCTACTCATTACAGTTTAGTCAAGGAGAGAATCTTTGTTAAGGCTCAGTTACTAGAGCAACTTAATTAGATATCAAGGATAAAGGTACAGGAAAACCAAAGTAACCAGTTACCAAGGGTGGAGGAATTCTCCATAAACTAGTTTAGTAGGATTCTTTGCTAGAAGTGGGCTCAGCTAGCCAAGGACAAGGTAGCAGGCTATGGTTGAACCCTAGTCTAGAAGAGGTTTCAGATGATCCTGACTAAAATTTGGCTGAGGATGGAGTCTTTGTCACTCATCCCAACACATTGTGCTGTTTTGTACCTCTATGTCTTTTGCCATGCTGTATCCTCTCTCAGAAACGCATTCTGCTCTTGTTAGAACAAAAAAACTACATGTTCTTCAATACCCACTAATGAACACATTAGTGTGGCTGGACCTGATCACCACATCCACAACAGAACTCACTGTATCCTCTTTGAAACATTGTTCTCACTATGTTGAAACTATTTGTTAACACACATGTCTCTCTGTTTAGAAGCCATAAGGCCCTAAATGTCAGGGATTGGGTTCTTTTTATCTTCTTTTTACAGCACCTACATGGTGGCTCGTACAAACAGTGTTGGGATGATTGGATAGTCATTTAGGAAAAAGACAATATTGGATCCATATCTACACCAAAGCAGAAAGTACACTAAATACATCAGAGATTTAATGTAAAAAGTGATAACACACTGGGTCTAAAAAAAAAATGTGAATTTCTCTATGACCTGTGTGCATGGAAAGACTTTCTAAACATGAGTTAAAAATGACAAAGAAAAGTTAGCTAATTCAACTAACTGGAGAATATTAAAATTTTTTTTCATGGCTGCATCACCATAAGTACAGTCAAAACACAAATGAAAAATGGGAGAAAAATATTTAAATATTCATCACACATAGAAGACTACTATTCCTAATACTTATAAAAAAAGGCTATTAAAATTGAGGAATGAGGCTATGGTACATATACACATTGGAATAATAAGCAGCTATAAACTACAATGAGCAAGACAACTATAAACAATTTGAATCTGTTAAGTAAAAAAGAACAAAGTATAAGAATATAAATAAGCTCATTTTTATTTTTTAAAAAGAGAGGGAGAGAACAAAAATGTAAATCTATCTGCATTCCTTTGCAAAACAAAGCAGAGGGAGAATAAACCAGAGAACCATGTGATAGATTATTTACAAGGCTGCTGTTAACTGGGGTGGAAGGGCATTGATGTAGGTGGCAGGCCCATGAATTTGGAGGCAGTTTGGTTTTTGGAGGCATGTTAGTATTTTACGTGATAAATTTATATCTAAATAAAAAATAATGGGGGAAACCCTAAAATAGGAACACACAGAAACAAATGAACTCAAAATTTTTCCAATGTGTGATATAACCCCCCTATGATAGTGGAAAAAAATGAACATAATTGCATTTGAACACAGTGCTTTGACACTCACTGTCTTGTCAATCTAAAGAAAAAAAGAACTGCAAATGATCTATTTTTTGAGTACTATATTTTTTGAGTAGTCTTTGGAGTAGGTTTGTTGTTCCCATTTGGGGAAGCCAAATGGGAATGGTAACCTTACCTCAGTGAATAGATGTTTGAGCAAATAAGTAAATATACCAAAGATGTTGAGAGTCAGATTTCTTAACTTTACTAAGGGATATTACAAATATGGAAATGGAGGAGATTAAAATCACCTCTGTGTTGGATTGAAATGGAAGGTGTCAGTATGAATTCACAATTTTTTTTACAAATTAAATATACACATGGCTATAAAGATAGATATTTAATATTTATAGCCATATCTATATCTATATATTTAATAACTATGTCCACCAAAAAGGAATATAAATAGCAGTACTTCACTGGCAATGAGCACTTCTAGCAAACATATCCAGATCTCTAAATACCACTCCCTATTGAAAGACTTCCTTGAGAAATGGATGATTTTAAGATGAAGATAAGGGAGTACAAGATGAGTCAGGAAATTTTGTGAAAAAAGGAAAGAAAAACCTCGCAAATGATAGAAGTTCCACAGGAGCAACCCAATAAATAATGATAGTAAGAAATTATAACCCATTGAATAAATATGGATTCAAGTGTAAACACTGAAAATAGACATAGATAATTAGGTAGATGGGAGAGAAGGCAAAGTTTTTTTGTAAGAATATAATGCCACATGATAAAAAAAGAATATGAAGTTAAAAAATTAATAATTTGCCACCATGACAGTAATACTTGGAACAGAGAAGAAATATGAAAGATGATAAATGAATGAGTGAAATTTGATAACAGAATACTTACAGTTTTCAAAATGTCTCCCCACATCTTACTTCTTAATTATAGGGTAAAAAAATAGCAACTTTATAGTGGAGAATCTTAGTGAACACCACCTTAAACAAGGGATAGAGTTATCATCTCTAATGACAGGACCATCTGACATCACTTCCTATTGTGATTGGAATCAACACCACCTTCATAGTATTCCCACCAAACTCCCTAGTAACCTGAAGTATAATGAGAAACATCAGGCAAACCCAACTTGGGATCCATCATTCAAAATAAGCAGCTTGTACTCTTTAAAATATCAATGACATGAAAGACAAAAAGGGCTGAGAACCAATCCTCACTAAAGGAGATGAATAGACCTGATAACTCCATGCAATGTGTGGTCCTGGATTGGCTCCTGCACCAGCAAATTCATATCACAACAGAAGATATTAATCGGACAATTGAAGGGATTGGAATAAGGTTTGTAGACAAAGTAATGTGATCACATCAATATTAAATTGTGCTTTCCTAATGCAGATACATTTTTTCACTGGGAAGATAGAATATCTGAACGGATGATAATTGTGAATGCACGTGCATGCAACCACACAGTATAATGGAAAACTGGAATAATGTTGGGAGAGTTTTACAACCTTTCTAATGAATAAGTTCAAACATTTGTAAGGCTAGGACTTCTTGGTGCCCACCATCCAGTCCTATTCTGTGATGCCTATTCAGAATTATAGACTGACCATTAGAGGTTCAGTGCTTCAGGTCAAGACCTGGCCCTCCAGCAGGGCTTAACCCTTAAGGGACACTAGCACTTGTTACCAATAGTTACTTCCCAAAGAAACTCTCTGAGCAATAAATGTAGGTAATTTTCCTTTAGGAATCAGCTTCTGAGATCTTGAGATTGGACACTAGCAAAGATTTTAAGCAGGTACCTGGGGAAATGGGGTATGGGGGTGGCAGTATGAAGTCAATAGAGCAGTTAGGAGGTGGGAAAATTCAGAGTCCTTAAAATGGAGATGGGTCTCAGTCACCTGGAGGTGACTCTTGAAAGAACTTCCTAAGGTCCCTATCATTCGTGGTTAAGAGAATCTTCTCTGTGGAGACTGTGGTGATTACAGCACAGAGAGGGGTTAAGGAAAGCTCCCTAACCCCTCCTTCCCATTGTTCCAGGTTGGGGAGGGTGAGGACAGATTAGCCAGTGGAGCAGGTACCCTGGGAGGAGGAGCAGATGGGCCAGAAGTAACATAGAGAAGAGAAAAGAGTCAAGACCCATTCCTCTCCTCTTCCGCAGCTGCCTGCCAGTACATTCACTTGGCTACCAGCAGCGCACATGCTTCCAGAGTCCATAGGTCGCTGTGCAGTGCTCCCGGGACAGGGCTCTGGGCACAGGGCTGTGCCCCAAAGCTGGAACAGGAGCAAGCATGGTGGGGCAATGGACACTGCTCCTTGCTGCCTTCCTTCTGCCGGGGTTCCTGCTCTCAGAAGCCGCCAAAATTCTGACTGTATCCTCACTGGGTGAGTGCTCGGCAGGAGAATCAGAGACAGCTGCATCCCAGGCACCTCAGCCCGGGCTCAGGCAGACAGCCTTGGGTCAGAGGGTCATTCCATGTGGTTTTCCAAACAGGGCTTGGGTCCCAGGCTATGGAGAAGAGGGTGTAGGTCAGGAGAAAAAACATTTCCTCTTTTTATCTGCTCTGGAGGGGCTTCCCATTGTGCATAGCTGGGGCCAGAATTTAGATCCAGTGCTGACCTGGAGATCTCGAGCCTCCTACTCCAGGGAAGGCAGGGACTTTCAGAGGTACAGCCTAAAAGTTATGGGGTGTGCAGTAGTTGCCAGTAGAAAGTGGAAGGTGAGGTCAACTTCAGGCCCCTGGAGGCCAAGGACGGGGGCTCCTGTAGGCAGCAGCACAAACTGGGAATGTCATTAATAGGACACCTGGAGAACTGACGGGGCCGAGGAGGGGGCCCCAGGACAATCAAGTTCTTGGGAATCCCCTCTCTCTTTCGCCCTTGCTGCTGGAGGGTTTTGAAGGACAGTGAAGCAGTTAATTCTGCGTGAAGTCGGGTTTATTTCCTTTACTCTTCCCCAAAGGGAACAGAAGGCACAGGAACATTTTCAGGCTAAGGAGGCATCATAGGATGGAGTTTCCCCAAGAAGTTTCTGGATCTATTGTGAAAGGATAGGGGGCTCCCAGGATCACTTTTAGATCCCTCTGAATCTGGGGATCCTAGAGCTGGAAAAACCACAGAGTTCATCTAATTGGGCAATAAGTGTAGGCGTCCCCCTTTTATTTCCTGATAGGTAACCTGAGGGTGAGGGAAAGGAGGGGCCTTTTGCAAGAGCACATCAGACCTCCCTGATGGACACACTCTGGACTTTACTCACTGTTTCTTACCTCAAACCTGTCCTCTTCCCCAAACTCTACTCTTTACCGTGGGGATTCCTAAAAATCAATATTTAAAAACCTTGATTTCTATTTTAAATTAATTTTTAATGATAATGGCAAAAAACAAAAACAAGAACAAAACAAGCTTTCTCACGTCTTGAAAGCACATGTCCTCCAGACTCTGAGAGGGAGAATTCGGGTTTGGGGACGCTGGAAGCCCCTGCTCTGGCCCAGACTTCACTGGGCTCACCAAGACCCTCAGGAATGGCTGCCTCTGTGGGATGACTTCTCCCCTGTTCCATTTCTTCCGTGAGTTGAATGTGAGCAAGAGTAGGCAGTCTGAAGAGGTAGGGATTTTTGTTTTCTATAATCCCTGTTACCTCAGTCAGCATAAGTATAGATATAAAAAACTAGAGTAGTTTCCACAGATACACACCATTACTGTAGTCCTGCATCCCTCTCTGCTGACCCAATAATCATGAGATCTTCATCTTCCAAATAACCCTCACTTCCCAATGTGGGAAAATTCTATTCCCTTAGTCCTGATTTCGCTTTCTTTGCTTCTGAGACCCATAGACTCAAAAAAAAAAAAAAAAAAAAAAGCCCCGTGTTGGCTCATGGTTTTAGAAAATCATTGTATTGATAGAACCTGTACCTCCTAGAGGTTCAACCTTCTCCTTCCTTAGAATCTCAGGAATCTTAGGATGGGTGTTATCCCAGTCTATCATGTGCAAGATCCTGCAGTTCCTCCCAAGGGCCAACAGTTATCCTGAATGCCTTAATTTGATGGTTAGCAATTTTCAGGCCCCAACTGGAAACATCCTGCCAAATATATTTGAATCTCAAGGATTTTGATTCTAAGTGGTGGGTTTACCTCGTTCTGCTTCAAATCCTATTTCTTGCTCTGATATTCAAGTTCCCATGTGTCTGGTTCCCACTCTAACATAAATTTCCAGAGAGAAGGATTCTATAAAGAGCTTTGACTGATTGTCTACTAGGAACCCTTCCCAATTCCACACACAGCACTGTGTCTAATTTCTAGTACAGTTATTTCTTTGGGGCACGGTGTCTCCATAAGGCCTGGCTAAAATCAATATGTACCTAGGATCAGGAACTCCTTAAGGCCTAAGCAGAGAAGCTCATCACACTGACATGAAGACCATACAAAAGGAAGTATTTGATGGAGGATTGCCTCAGGTCAAGATTTGGGCAGACCGGATATAGGTATCTCTGCTGGGACTTACCCAAAGTGAGGCAGGGGGACTGAAGTAATTAATCTTCCTTGGATCACCATCAACACTCTGCCCCCTTACCTTGCATATCCCCATCCTCCACATCAATTTCAGACTCTCTGTTCACATCCTCACAAAAATGAAATTTTGTATTGTTCCTAGGTGGAAGCCATTATCTACTGCTGGACCGGGTATCTCAGATTCTTCAAGATCATGGTCATAATGTCACTATGCTTCTTTATGGAGAAGAATTTTTAATCCCAGGTATGTTTTCTTGGAATCATTGAATTCTTCTATCCCAGAGAGACGGTGTCTTCTGTACAGCTCTGCTTAGCACAAAATCTTTCTGAATCTAGTTTCATTGAAAGAAGTGGAAAAATCTGTAAGTGTGTATGTTTATGTTACCTGCTGGATATCATAATAGGCTCTGTAGACCTGGCCATAACTCCATGTTTTACCCGCTTAGCTAGGTGTCATTCCCTTTCAGGCAAGCTCCATACATCATTATGATCATTTTGATAACTACTGCTCTGTGGTGTGCCTTTAATTGTGTTGAACAGAAGTGTTCAGCCATATTTATAGCTTCTGTTATGTAAGGAGAGCTGCTCTTCCTTTTTTATAGGTTACTTTCTACTTCTGTTATGAGATCTGAACTTTAAGAAAGCTTCTTAAAAAGATGTCTTTTAGTCATGTCCTAGGATCAGAATCTATCAATGAGATGATGGTATATTCTTGAGAAGTCACTGGCTGCCCATGACTTGTGCAGAGTGATGTCAGATGTTCTTGAGTCACTGAATCCAAAAAATTTGTAGCTAAGATGAAGCTCATCAATCTTGTCAAGTCTTTCTGTTGACAGACAAGGATATAGAGGACAAGAGACCTAAAAATATTTGCTCATGTTCGCACAGCAGGTTAATAATAGAGTTGGGTGGTTCTGGAAGTTTAACTGGGTTTCTCATTCAGAATTGCTGAAGTTTAATTTAAAAAAATAAAAAATTAATCATTTTTGATGAAAACAAGTCTGAGCAATTATGAAAGTCTGGAGATGAACTTCAGGCTCTATTACTGTTTAATCACCTTCTAAATCAGGTTCTATTTTGTTCACTGGATATCCTTTCTTTTTTTTTTTTTTTTAAAGATTTTATTTATTTATTTGACAGAGAGAGAGCGCGAGAGAGGGAGCACAAGCAGGGGGAGTGGGAGAAGGAGAAGCAGGCTTCCTGCCGAGCAGGGAGCCTGACGTGGTGCTCGATCCCAGGACCCTGGGATCATGACCTGAGCCGAAGGCAGACGCTTAATGACTGAGCCACCCAGGCGCCCCTGGATATCCTTTCTATACACACCCCTTTGTATCTGCCTTGTTTGTCAGTCTGATTGTGTATTTGCCTTGACTGCCAACCATGGTAGTTGTAGTCCATGATCATTTTGTTTTGTGGTTCTCATGGGTTGAGGAACTACTGAAAGCTTTAGACCCTCTACCTCTTTAACAAACATGCCCACACTCAAAATTACAAACCATTCAGGGGACCCATGGATTCCCTTAGTTTTATTCTTAGTTCCAAGTTTTAATTGTCCAGAGTTTCTTGCAATATTTACCATTCACTGGAAATTTCTGAGGTTTTGTGAAGTGTATTATTTAGTTTCTCTTCAGCAGTAGACATTGGTAGAGGTCTGCAAATAAGGAAACACATGATTGGATTATTTTTATTGACCTGATGGAATACTCATTGTTGAACCTTTTGAGCCTGTATTAACTACCTGTTTGGATATCTTCTATATAGGGTTTTTATTTACAACTTTAATGAATAAATGACTGCAGAAAAACTCAATTAGCTACTGTTTCTATTGCTGAGATGTAGGATTGTTCTAATCAATAACTGAAATCACAAGTATATGATGCCACCTTCCAGTGGACTTAATTATCTGCAGTTCTGACTCTTCCTTTTCCTAAGAGAGCTTGCTGTACCTCTCCTTCTACCAGGTAGATATTCCCCAGGTGACAAGTCTTCTTTGTTTTGGCGCTTCTGTGTAGTTACATCTTTGGTTCTCAGGGGCTTGCCTACAAACACTCAAGTGAAGTTCTGCCTGGAGGGACATTGTCCTGACCAGACAATTCCACCCCTTGAAGCCATTTAGTCCAGCTTTCTTTGGGTTTGGAGGTAGGAGAGCAGATCAGCAGCGAATGTAAGGAAGCCCTATGTTGGAATTCAGGCTTTGATTAGACTCATGGGCTCCTTAGTTTATCTCTCTAGATTTGCTCACTTTAGCTTTGGGAGTTAAAGAACCCAGTATCTTAGTCTGCTGTTATCAAGGTGAGGTCGGTTTCTTTTTGCTGGGGTTTATAGAGTTTAATAAATTACAACCACCTTTCCCTCTGAATTTTAGAACCTATTGAGAGAAGGTTACAGGACTTAGATCAAAATGCACCTTTATCTAGCTGATCAGGGAGCTTTCCTTTAGATCTTCATTAACTGTCAAGGCTGAGTAGTGGCTTGAAAAGAGGCTCTGTATAACCTCTGGGTTTTGTTCTGTTTATTCTTTATGGTGCCTTGGGTAGTTTCCTCCCATGTTTGCACTGACTATTCTCAGGAAGACCCCAACCCCAGAGCTTTCTCTCCCTACAGCTCTCTTGTGGTATTCTGGTATTCTGCCCTGTGAATTCTAGCTGCCATGTCCTCCCCCAAATCTGAAGTGCTCCCTCGGGGAGATGGCCAGACCACATCTGGGTTTCTCCTCCATGAGCTGTATCCTGGACGTTTTCTCCAGCCATCCATGAATGTTGTGTGCTACCTGGGGTGCAATGTCTAAAAACCATTTTAACATGTATTTGGTCTGGTTTTATTTAGTTGTTTAAAGCAGGAATTTCAGGGCACCTGAGTGGCTCAGTTGGTTAAGCGACTGCCTTTGGCTCAGGTCATGATCCTGGAGTCCTGGAATCGAGTCCCACATCGGGATCCCTGCTCAGTGGGGTGTCTGCTTCTTCTTCTGACCCTCCCCCCCTCATGCTCTCTCTCTCTTATTCTCTCTCTCTCAAATAAATAAATAAAACCTTGAAAAAAAAAATAAAGTAAGAATTTCCATATGATCCTATCGTGTTCTTGTGGCCACAGACTTAAGTTCCTTATCTTCATTGTTTAAACCATTGTATGGAAGTAATATTGGCAATTTGTTATCTTTGGACATACATGTGCTGGCCTATATATGTATCTATACCTGTGAAACTATCAACATCATCATGATAACAAATGTATTTCTTCTTCCACCAGAACATTTTTTTTAAAGATTTTTATTTATTTTTATTTATTTTTTTTCTTTTAAAAATTTTAGAAAACAAAACAAAACAAAACAAACAAACGCGGTAAGGGACAGGCACAACAAGGCAATCCTGAGCGCTCGCGGCCGGGACCCCAGGAGGAGACCGCCCTTCGCCCCGCCACGCACGCTGTGCTCGCGTCCCCGACCAACCGGGAGTTTCGCGCCCCCGGCGAGGCAACGACGAGCGGAGACAAGCACGGCATGCCGGGCAAAAAGGCGGCGGCCCCTCGGCTGGCCAAGCGCCAGAGCGCGGCTCGGCCCGCCGCAACCGGCTCACACGCCCCACCAAGTCCAGTCCCCACACCACCAGCACAGCTTGCGGCGGGGACGACGAGGCGCCCGCGTCCCACGGGGGGCGGGGGGGGCCTCCCTGACCGACTCCACCACCCGCTCCTCGGACACGCCACCGACAGCGGTGGCCCGACGGAGGGGGTCGCTGGGAACGGGAAACGACGCTCCCGGCTCGGCCTCAGGCACCTGAGACGACCTGGAGCGCCCCAGGGGCACCACGGAGGGCCACGCGCACAACGCGCTCAGCGCGCCCAAGCGGGTGAGCAGCGCGGCGCCGGGACGGCCCTCCCCGTGGCGGGGAGGACCGCGCACCCCACGAAGCCAGGGAAGGCAAGCGAGAGTGTCGCTGCGTCGGGGGCCCCCGGTCCCGCGAGCGCCGTCAGGCAGAACACGGGAAGGCGGGGTCGGGCCGGAGCCTGCACCCCCCCCCCCCCGCCCCGCACCCCCGACCTCACCGCCACGGCGGGCAGGGGCGAAGGAGCGAGGGGCCCGCGGGCAGAACGAGAAGAGCGGTCCCATTCGCCATGAATGTCCGTCCCTCGTGTGACGCGGCTTAGACCCGGCCCGGGGGGAGCGCGAGAGCACCACATCGATCTGGCAAAGGATTTTTATTTATTTATTTGAGAGAGAAAGAAAGAGAAAGAGAGATCATGAGAGGGGGGAGGGTCAGAGGGAGAAGCAGACCCCCTGCTGAGCAGGGAGCCCGATGCGGGACTCGATCCCGAGACTCCAGGATCATGACCTGAGCCGAAGGCAGTCGCTTAACCGACTGAGCCACCCAGGCGCCCCTCCACCAGAACATTTCTAAGTTCTTTTACAATCTCCCCTCCAGCCTCTCCCACCTTTCTATTCCCATTGCCTATCGAGCCCTAATACATCATCATGTGTTAGATTGCATCATGTAGATTTTATATAAATTCGATCATAAGTATGCCACCTCATATTTTGATTTATTATACTCAGAAAAAATATTTTGAGATTCATTTATAATGTGTGTATGCATAGTTCATTCCCTTTTATTGCTGAATAGTGTTCTATGTACGGATTACCACAATGTGTTTATTTAGTTGCTTGTTGATGGACATTAGGGTTGTCTCCTGTTTTGAGCTATTACAAATAAACTTGCTCTGAAGAGTTGTGTACAAGCTTTTGTATGAATATGTACTGTCTTTTCTCCAGATTAATTGGTAGGAGTACAGTGGCTGAACCATAGTTTCGATGTATGTTTAAGCTTTTAAGAAATGGCCACACTGTTTCCCAGGAGGCTGTAACATTCTGCATTCTCACCAGAAGTGACTGCAAGTTCCATGCACACCACATCCTTGTCAATACTTGGTATGGTTAGTCTTTTTACTTTTAGCCAGTGTTGTGTGGGTGTTTAGTTGTATTTCATGGTGGTTTTTATATGCATTTCCTTTATTACTAATGATGCTATGCATTTTTTCATATGCTTATTTGTCAGCCATATATCTTCACAGATGAAGTGTTTCCCAAATTTTGCCCATTTTTAAATTGGGTCATGTTTTTCTTATTATAGAGTCTTCAGATATAAGTATTTTATCAGGTATAAATCTGTAAATATTCTTTCCCAGGCAATGACTTATCATTTCACTCTCTTAGCAGTATCTTTTGAAGAGCAGAATATTTAATTTGATGAA